AGTAGGTTCTTTGTTTTATTTGAGCTATATTACAAGTTCTACAGTTTTAAACGGGTGGTAGTGAATACTCACAGTCCCAGTTACATTCAGGCAAAAAGTGCTTTCTTGAGAAACGTCCGTATTGGGCAAGTCTCTGCAGAATGTGGGAGAATAACGAAGACCTTCCAAAATAGGCACCATTTATTTTGTAATTTATGTCATTTGTAAATGAGAAAGAATATTATTAATTTCAGTGTGAATTCAGAATTGTGGGTTGGAATGTTATCCAGCAGGGAGGCACAAATCAGTTTTTCCTCTAAGATCCCTGTATCATCTGAATTATGAAGGTTAATGAATTCATGTCTAATTGGCATAGCAGTCACAACAGTGGTCATGACATTTGTGTACCTCCTGTGCAAAATCTATTGATAAGTCTGAAAAAGCACACAATGCAAAATGCACTGAGGCATTTTATTAAAGTCCATCATGTGAAAGCTAAAATAAGTTAATGTGAACTGCAGGGTTGTGTGCTATGAATAAAAAATCAAAATCTGTGTTGCAAGTACCAATAAATTGCAAGGAACTGCAATTATCTACCTTCCAAAATTCACATTTCAGAAGTTCTAGGAGCTTCGATAGTGTATCATCAAAGATCAGTATTTGCACAAAATCTGTTCAATGCTTCAGTACTGAAAAGATATATAGTAATACATTTTAAAGCCTTTGTTATTAAACAATTTATGCAGCAGTTGCATGCTGGTGCTTCGGAATTAAACACAATTGAGGGCTCTTGTGGCACAGTGGTAATGTCCCAACCTCTGAGTCAGGAGACCTGGGTTCAAGTCCCACCTGCTCCAGAGATGTGTCATAAGACTTCTGAACAGGTTGGCTAAAATAGATACATAAAAAGTAATTAAACACCACTTGAAAGGGACTGTTGTTGTGTGAAGATGTAGTGGCCCTACATCTGGGCTAGGAATCCCACCTGTGCCAGAGGTGTGTCATAACGCATCTGAACAGGTTGGTTAAAATATCTCAAGCACAAATGGCATCAAACGTGGAGCATGTAATCTAAGTAACCCTAAATACAATTTAAAAATGCAATGTATATATGTAAAGACAATCAAAAGTTACTAATGAACTACATTGCAAAGTTTTCTAAATGAGGTCATCATGTTTTGGGGTACATGAATGGGTCATTAATCCCAGCGCTGCTTTGGAATGCTGCAATGTGAAAATCAGTTGCAGCATTTGCCTACGTTGAAAGAGTCTCTGATAATAACTGCAAGACAGGAAGGAGTAGTTGGTGTTGGGGAACTCTGACTGGAGATTGGGATTTTCTGCAGGTGCTGCTAAATTTGGTTACAGTCTGTTTGTAGTTAGATAGAAGAAGTTAGATAGAATGGGAGGTATTGTGGAGTCAAGTTTGTAAGGATCCAGTTGTGAGGATGTAAGCCTACTGGGGGTGAGAAATGAAGAAGCACTCCTACGCATAGAGTCATACAGCACAGAAACAGACTCTTCAGTCCAATTCATCCGTGTTGACCAGATATCCCAATCTGACCTAGTCCCATTTGCTAGCATTTGACCCATATCCCTGTAGACCCTTCCTATTCATTTACCCATCCAGATGCTTTTTAAATTTTCTATGAGAATTAGCTTTATTGTCACATGAATTCTCATGAGTGCAGTGAAATTGTACCAGTCTCCATCACTTCCTCTGGCAGCTCAATCCATTAATGCGCACCACCCTCTTTGTGATAAAGTTACTCCTCAGGTCCTTTTTTAAATCTTTCACCTTGAACCTATGCCGTCTACTTTTGGACTTCCCTACCCTGGTGAAAAGACCTTGGCTATTCATTGTATTGATGCCCCTCATGATTTTATAAACGTCTGTAAGGTCACCCTTCAGTCTGCAACATGCCAGGGAAAACAGCCCCACGTATTCAGCCTCTCTGTATAGATCAAACCCTCCAATCCTGAAAACATTCTTGTAAATCTTTTCTGAACCCTTTCAAACATCGCAACATCCTTCCAATAGCAGGAAGACTAGAATTGCATGCAGTGTTCCAAACATGACCTAACCAATGGCCTATACAGCCGCAACGTGACTTCTGAACTCCTATACTCAAAGCATTGACCAATAAAGGCAAGCATACCAAACACCACCTTCACTATCCTATCTACCTGTGACTCCACTTTCAAGGAACTGTAAACCTGCACTCCAAGATCTGTTTGTTCAGCAAACTCCCCAGGATTTTACCATTAAGTGTTACAAGTCCTGCCCTGCTTTGTCTTTCCAAAATGCAGCACCTCATATTTATCTAAATTAAACTCCATGTGCCATTCCTTGGCCCATTGGCCCATCTGACCTAGGTCCTGTTTGTACTTTGAGGTAACCTTCGCTGTCCACTACACATCCAATTTTGGTATCATCTGCAAACTTACTAACCATACCTCCCATGTTACATCTAAATCATTTATATAAATGACAAAAAGCAATGGACCCAGCACCGATATGAGTTTCCACATGAGCTATTTTCAGCTCACTTGTCCTTCAACGTTATGGTGGGCAAGTTGCAGTTGTAGGAGGAAGACCTGCATGAAGAGGGTAAAGCTTTTTTTTGCGCAGGTTGGACCACAAAGAGGGACAAGAAGACAGTCTGTTGATTATAAATATATCTTTTATTATCTCATATAATATTCCTATGGGTTCAAAATAATTTTTCAATATGTGTAACATCTGTATTTATTTAATAAGCTTTCTTTTGAACTTATGCAGAAAGATATTTATTTTGTTTACTTTATTGCATTTCAGATATCAAACAAAATAGGCAATATGCCACAGGAGATAATAAGCCATTGATTTGGTTCCACGAGTACATCAGTCTTGATTACACTCAGCAACAATCTAATACAAGGCAATGGTTTAAATCAATTGGGAATAAAAGTCTTAAATAGTTCCCTTCTATAGCGTAGGCTTTCTAGAGTTACAGCTCCGAAGGGTTATCACAGCTATATAAAACTCAGAATATATTTAAACATCTTTAGTTGATGAGAAATTGTAGTGAAATGCCACCAGGTTTATAAAACAATAATGTTTTTGGGGATTGCCAATAAAATCCTCAGTCAGGATACACTTAGCATAAAATTGTATTGTGTAAATTTTGTATGATTTGTGTTAACAGTTTTACTCTATTATGAGTTAGAGTCATACAGTATGGAAACAGACCGTTCAGTCCAACCAATGCATGCTGACCATAATCCCAAACTAAATTAGCATACCTGGTGTTCGAAATCAATATAGCTAAAAATAACATGGCAGTTTGTCTCTGACCACTATCACCTTAGGAAATTTTACTCTTGGTAACTTTTAAAAGTACATTACAGTGTTGAATAATAAAAATCTCAGTTTATTTCACACATCCAGTTTGCGACGTGGGATGTCTTTGATTTGAAATTTATCAACCTTTATTTCATTATGGCGAAGCAGTGGTCTAATGGTATTGCCGCTGGATTAGTATTCCAGTGACCCAGGTAAGGGTCTGGGAACAAAAGCAGGAAGTGCTGGAGAAACTCAGCATGTCAGGCAGCATCTGTAGAGCAAGAAACAGTTAACGTTTCGTGTCCAGTGATCTTTTGTCAGAATTGAAATCAGTTGGGACATGGTAGTGTTTATGCTGAGCAGTAGGGAATAGGAGTGGTTGACATGGGAAGGAGTGAATTGAATAATTGGAGATGGTGTCAAGAGTGCGAGAAAGAAGGAGAGGCAAATGCTGATGATAAGCCGAGAGAAAGAGAGAAATGCTGAGTAGTGTGAATGGTTAAAAATGGATTGGCTGTGCTGGTGGCAATCCATATAAAACAGAACCTAGATGTGTCAGGGTACATAATGAACATGGAATATGGTGCTCACATTCCGACATTGTTAAAACTCAATGTTGAGTTTGAAGGCTGCAAAGTACCCAGGCAGAAGATAAGGTGTTGTTCCTCCAGTCTGTGTTGAGGTTTGCTGGAGCACTACGAGAGGCCTGAGATGGAAATGTTGGCATGGGAACTGAACTGGACTTGCTTTATAATGCCATTGCTAGGAATACTGCATCAAGGAACTCCTATCCTGACTTCCCAAAGACTGTTTACAATCTCCAAGGCACAAGTCAGGACGAGCGCAGCTCGAACAGCATTCCAGAAACTTGACACCATCCAGGACAAAGTGGTCCACTTAATTGGCACCACCTCCACAAACAACCACTCCCTCCACAAACATCCACTCTCTCCACCACCGATGCACAGTATCAGCAATGTGTATCATCTATACATAGTCAAATGCAGCTTTCATGTCAAGGACAGTCACTCCTTAAAACTTTCCAAACCTACAACGGCTACCAACAATGAGGACAACAGATGAGTGGGAACACTACCACTTGCAAGCTCACTTCCGAGCCACACACCATTCTGACTTGGAAATGTTTCACCATTCTCTCAGTGCCACTGGATCAGAATCCCAGTGCTCCCTATCTACAGAATTGTGGGTCTACCTATAGTATGTGCGATGTTTCAAGAAGGCAACTCACCACTCCCTTCTTAAGGGGCAACTAGGGATGGACAATAAATGCTGGCTGGGCCAGCAACACCCACATCCCTTGAGTGAATAAGAAAAATGCCTTGTTCAGAACACATTTATGTAACCCTGTGACTACCATCATATTGTAATGAAATATTTGGATTAAATGTTATACAAGATACCTAACCAATAATGCTGAGACTTATTCAATGTTCCCACTAAACTGTAATAATGTGTGTGCATGACAGTGCAAAAAATTGAGATACTGTGCACTAAAAATAAGTTGTCTTTTCTATTAAATTAAGTTTTAATTAAATGTACTCATGGTCTCTTCCTGTAGCCCTTGCTGTAATGTGATTCCTAGGCTCTTCCATTGAGTGGCTGATGTGTTAGTTTGTTGCTGTGAAAATATGTCATGCATATTTTTTAAAGCGATCAATCTTCTATTCCAATTTAGTTGTCTCCAGCGACAGTGAAAGTGAATCAGAATGCAGTAACTGCAGTCAAGATGACAATGTTTCAGCCAACAGCTCAAAGAACCACAATACAGAAAAAGGAAGAGAGGAGTCTGGTAGGAAAATGAAAGGTACAGCGGTCTCCTTCTCTGAATTTGCTTTATCTTTAATCATTAGAAAAAAGTGCTTCGGTGTGAAACCTTCCATTGATGAAATATGGATCGCTACATTTCCAATTGGGAGGATAAATAACTCTGGATGACCAAACTAAGCAAGAAAGCCAGTGCCAGGTGTATTTCCCATTGTGATTATGTTTCCATATTACATATTGGTAGAAAGAGGGGAGGCGATGGCCCAGTGGTTTTATCGCTGGACTGTTAATTCAGAGACTCAGGTACTGTTCTGGGGACCTGGGTTTGAATCCTGCCACGGCAAGTGGTGGATTATGAATTTAATAATAATCTGGAAATTAGGGTCTAATGATGACCACGAATCCATTGACAATTGTTAGAAAGAACCCACCAAGTTCACTAACGTCCTTTAGGGACAGAAATCTGCCATCCTTGCCTGTTCTGGCCTACATGTGACTCCAGACCCAAAGCAATGTGGTTGACTCTTAACTGTCCTCTGGGGCAATTAGGGATGGGCAATAAATACTGACCTAGCCAGTGATGCCCACATTCGTGCATGAATTAAACATATTAATGAAGGACTTGGAGCATGGAGATAATTTCCTAAGACAGAAACATTTTTAAGAAAGTATGAAAGTACCTAGAGAAAAATTGATTTGCATATAGGGCCACAAAATGGAATGTCCAGTACAAATACTTGATGTTTTGTAAGTGCTCCATTTATAGCAATCCAGATGAATAGACAACACTGAAAATATAGTATACAGATCCGACCTCTGTATTATGAAAATAATTTCAGAAACACTGTGCATAAAAGATTTACAATGCAATACTCTGAGGGTGCAACTGTCAGGAAAGATTTAACGTGCTGGGGCTTATTTCCCTAGAATAGAAAAGACTGAGAAAAGACCTGACAGAGGTCTTTAAAATTGTGGGTGACGTTTTATAGGGGTTTGAAGGATGTGGACTGTGAGATTTATGGCAGAAATGAATGAGAAGGCTGATGAGGTCTGCCTTCATGTTGGGATCAGCTCACGTTGTTTTCACTAGGCAGTGGTGATGTTGCCAACTAAGGATGGTTATTGCCTGTTCAATGCCTTATTAACACAGCAATTCACCTCATTAACATAGCAACTCTCCTCATTAATATTTAACTTCCTATCTTACCAAACATGCTGAACAAGCTTGAATTTTGCCAATTCTCAACATAGAAGTCAGAGAAGGTACCTGCCACTTGCTCCACATCACTTAGGACCAAATAGCATCTCAGGGCATGAGCCAAGGGCACCAGCTGTATATACCCTTCCACAGACACTGGGATCTGACACTTGCCAATGTCTCATGACCATCATGGCATCTTTTGATCCACTTGCAGCCTGCTTCGGAGGCCATTTACTCCATCATGGCTATGTCCCAGCTATTTATAAAGGCTGCCTGATTAAACCCCATTACAGCCATACAATGAATGGTTCTTTAGAGTGGGTAGTTTGCAGATATTTTAAGGGGTTTGGAGTGGTTGACATGAATATAAAATTACCCTCAAGTAGAAAAGTAAACTTAGAATACCTAACTGGAATTCATGGACTGAATCTTAGTTTTTTTTAAACTGTTAGCTTAACAGATCTTCTGTAAGACTTATTGCCATGAGGTGTAGTGGGATCGCTCACTGTATCTTACCAAACTCATATCTCATTATCCACCTACTCTCCCACTGTCACTGTTGCATGCAGCATCTTCAAAGAACAGTTCAGCACAAGAACAGGCTCTTCGGCCCTCCAAACCGGCACCAGCACATTTTGCTCTTCCGTACCAAAACTGTCTTCACTTACAGAATCCGTATCCCTCTATTCCCTTCCTATTCATGTATTTGTCCAGGTGCTTCTTGAATGCTACTGTTGTGTCTGCTTCCACCACCTCCTCTGGTAGCGTGTTCCAGGAACTCACTACCCTTTGTGTGGAAAAACCTGCCTCGCCCATCTCTTTTTAAAGCCCGCCCTCTCCCCGCACCTTGTACCTGTGTCCCCTAGTAATTGACCATTCCACCCAGGGAAAAAGACTCTGTTCCCCACTCCATCCATGCCATTCACAATCTTATAAACTTCTATCAGGTTGCCCCTCAACCTCCTGTTTTCCAGTGAAAACAAACCCAGTCTATCCAACATTTCTTCACAGCTAAAGTCCCCCATAACAGGCAACATCCTGGTAAACCTTTTCTGTACCCTGTCCAAAGCATCCACATCCTTCTGGTAGTGTGGTGACCAGAATTGTGTGCAATATTCTAAGTGTGGCCTGACTAAAGTTCTATAAAGCTGCAGCATAATTTGTCTATCCTTATACTCAATGCCCCTTCCAATGAAAGTAAGCATTCCATTGACCTTTTTTATGACCTTATCTTTCTGCGCTGCCATCTTCAGTGATCTGTGGACCTGCACACCCAGATCCCTCTGCATATCAGTACTCCTATGGGTCCTGCCATTCACTGTATGATTTCCACCTGTATTTCCAAAATGCATCACCTCACATATGTCTGGATTAAACTCCATCTGCACTTTTCTGCCCATGCTTCCAACTGATCTATATCTTCCCTCACTTGTCCTCATTGCTCCCAACCCCCCACAACACTGATTCTGCATTGCCTCTGCTCTGCCTCCTCACCCTCTCGGGATACCTCCCCACTTTTCCCCTACTTACACTAACAACTGTACCAGTCACTTCTATCTCCCTCAGTCCCTCCCTTTGTCTTGTTCTAGGAAAGAACAGCCATGACAAAGTTAATGGATGTGTGTCCAACATTAGGCTCCTCACCCCTCCAAGGAGAGAATCCTCACAGGAGTGGACCTAATCCCAGCTGTGGGGTTGCTGAAACGTCCATGTTCCCCCAATAGAGCATGTGCCATTCTTCATTCATCTGCAATGTCCACTGTAACTTCACTGTCAGTGTCGTTCATTACACACCATTTCTAGCTAATGGTTATGAAACCTTTTCCCTATGTCCTGCCAGATCCAGTGGAGAAACAAGTTGCTCTGTGTGAAGCACTTCCGCGACCTCTGAGGAAGAGAGCTCAGAAGCTTCAGAGGAAGCATTGGCAAGGCTGTCTCCTGCACCTCCCCCCCCCCCCCCCCCCCCCCCCCCCCCCCCAAAACTCAGATATTGATACCTCAGTGGGAACATCTGAATTAGAGTTTGGGAGCAGAATCTATTGAGCCCCTCACTGCGAGGAGGACTGCTGGAGATACGGCCCCCGCTCAACTTCCTGCAGGAGAGGACCCTGCGGTGTTGGCAATCAGCAACTTTATCCTCATGCATAGGGTGGAACAGGAGTAGCAGACAGGGATATGGGAGGCAGTGACCTTCAGAGCACAAGGCTGTAGCAATGCATTGTAGGGACCCAGATGCCTCAAACATAATTATCTGGCTATCTCCATGGACAGGTTGGTGGCTGCCATGGCGAGCCAGACCCAACACTCTCAGGATCTCTTGGATAGACTCACTCACTCAATCGCCCCACCCATTGGTCCTGAAGACTGAAGGCATGGCAACAAGGGGACTTGAAATCTGCTGTGCCCTCCACACAAGAAGATAGGGCAATGCCAGGAGGCACCCATTGGCAAAGGAACCACACACAGGCAAAGAGACCCTTGGCATGTCTGGGCTATCTAAATACAAACATCCTCAAATTGCCCAATCTAATCCCTAAGGCCAAAGGACTCCACTGCTGTGCATGCTCCATCCACCTCAACTATGGATCCTTGAACAATAGATATGGTGGGAGGGAAAGGAAAAGATAACTTCTGAGGACATTTTAAAGGCATAGGTGACATTACACTGTGTGTAAGTCTCAGGTTTTTGTAAATTTGACTGGTTTTGCCATGCATTGATTTGTTTGAGTCTATGTATAACTCTGAATGTAACTGATCCAGTATGATGTCATGTCCATCCAGGAAGTACCATGGATTGATGTCTGTGTTGAGAATCTGCTGCAGCCCGTGGAAGTAAGATGAATAAGGTTATACAGGGCAATGAGTTCTGCTGGCATCATTTCATTCTCGTGGTCAAATATCCCTTTTCTTTACCTGCCCTCTATGTGCAAAAATGTTGGAATGATCGAAGTGATCAGGAGTGTGTAGAGCAAACTGGAACCCAAAGCATTAGGATTTCTGATGATCAGGGAACCAGCAGGGCCTGTGTCCTGTGCTTGAATGGGTTTGACTGTAATGATCTTGCCCTTTCTAGGACAAACCATCATTGGGACTTGCAGCCCACTTCCTCACAGGTTGAGACACTTATTCCACCCACTCTGGCTGTGTCTGCATTTTTAAAATTTCCAGTGAGTGCTCTTCTGGCAATACAGTGTGGAGCTGGAGGAACACAGCAGGTCAAGCATCATCAGAGGAGCAGGAAAGTTGACGTTTCAGTTTGGGACCCTTCATCAGGACTGTCTCAGTGCTGTTACGGCAATGGCTTTCAGTTTCTGGCTGTACATATCAGTAAGGTCCTGAATATCCAGGTCCCCTTCCTGAAAGCCCTTCCCGTGAACCCATTGTCTTTGTGTATCCCAGGTCCCCACCCAACCCCTCGACATGAACCAGCACATCTTAACCTCCCATCCCCTGGCATATAAGGTGCCATGCGTGGTCACACACTCCTTCCCTTAGAGCCAGAATTACCTTGACCATGAATGAACGATCCCCTTCCACATGAGGCATTACAATCTGTGCTATATGGTCTCCACCCCTTACAAATATATGCTGTCTTTCACAATTGTCATCCCCCTTTCACCAAACCTGCAACCTCAATCCCCAAAAGGTTACAAGTGTCCTTCCTGTGGCACTGGCTCCCTCTTGACCCCTCCCCCACCAAAAGCCCCCTACTTTCTCTGTCCAGAACTGATGGACTGAGCATGGTCTACCCCCTCAATTTAACTCACGTGACAGCCCCGGGTGAGAAGTATTCAGATGCCTGACTGGGGCCTCTCCGTCTCCTTGACATCACTACCCCTAAACTTCTGGACAGGCTGCTGTGCAGGCACAGGACTTCCCATGAGGTGCATCCCGGACTGCGGCGCCTTGGACACCCAGACTGAGATGACCCCACCCTAACACCTGATCGTAGCCAATCCCTTGGACTGACGTTAGAGTCTGCCATGCACATACTATGCTGGGACTGACAGATGCATCTGTGGACTTCTGTGAGGACTACCTACCGTAGACTTTGATACCCAGCTGCTTGCTTGCTGCACGTGCTTTGTATTTGTCATATGTGCTGCTGGCACATTGTGCAGGTGAGAGGTTGATGGAGTGCAATGCCATTCATCAAGGTGTATGCCTCCTTGACTGAGGATTGCTGGCCATCAAGTCAAGCTTCTGTGATTGTGCTAATAGGCAAGGCAAGGCAAGGCGGGGATACTATGAGCATGCAGTTAGCACTAAGTGAAGAAATGCTGAGAGAGCAAATGAGCAGCCCTAAGATGTGCATCTTGATCCAATCTATGAGGTAGATGCTTGTCCCTTGGCACAAATTGTCTTTGTAACAGCCTTTCAATGCTATTTGCCAGTGCACCCTGCAATGCAGATCAGAATTTTTAAAGTATCCTGCAAATGGGTCAGCGAGGAGCCATGAGGGTCCTGAGAGGCTTGCAGTTATCAATGCCAATGTCCGTGAATGAGGGGTGCATGTGCTGGTGCCCATGAGGTCATGCCCTGGGATGCTGTTTGTTGCTGAGCTGCATGGTGGTTCTTCATAGCCAGTGACAGCTGGAAGTGCTCAGTTCCTGCTCTGACTTCCATGTTGAGAATTCTTGATATCTAGTTCATTTGGCAAGATGCGGAGCTTAATGTTAATGAGGTGAGTTGTTAAATGCCTTATTAATGGCACAAGCTATAGTCTCCCTTAACAGGCAACTCATCACTGCCTCATGAGAACCTCACCTCACCCTCTGGCAATTCAGCGAGTTGCTGCTGACTTTGAGATAGGCTTCACTGGTCTTCTCTGACGATTTTGCCACTCATCTCACTATAAGCCATATTGTTCAGGCTTCTATAATACTCTGCCTCATATGTTGACATGTTTGTATGAACTTTTCAGGATATGATAATGAACTTCCCGATCTCCGTAAAATCATTCTGAGGAATTGCAACTGGTCATAGAATACTTTCAGTGTGGAAGCAAGCCATTTGGCTCTTTTGAATGCATAGCACCCCTCAAAGGGCATCCCACACACCCCTCTACACTGTCCCTGTAGCCCTGCATTTCCCATGGCTAATCCATCTAGCCTGCACATCCCTAGACAATTTAGCATGGTCAATTCACCTAACCCACAAATCTTTGGACTATGGAAGGAAACTGGAACACCCAGAGGAAGCCCACACAGACACAGGGAGAACATGCAAACTTGACACAGTCGTCTGAGGGTGGAATTGAACCCAGGTCCCTGGCGCTGTGAGGCAGCTGTGCTAATAACTGAGCTACTGTGCTTTCCTAGTCAGGTTACTTCACTAAAGCAGACCCCTTGACTGGTCACCTGTGATATAACTTATGTCTTTCAATTTGCTTACAAGCTTAAAACTCCCAACTCTCCTTAAAAAAGCATCTTGAAATTCAAAGGTGTAATTTCATTAGAGGAACACAGTTTTGAAAATCCTTCAGCTTCAAAAATAATCAGTCTGAACATGACAGGAGGTAATTAGGACAAAACTCTAATATGTAGATTTTTGTTTAAACTTCTAATAACATTTTAACATTTACATTCCCCATAAACTGTATACTGCTTAATTATTGTTTTGCAGTTTCAAGCTATGAGCCAACCAGTAAAACTGCAACAAGCTATAAATTAACAAACACTTTGTCTGAGAGTCGAACCAGTCTTGGTAGTGAACATGGAGGACATTCAAGTGCCACAGGGAGTTACATTGGTGATGGCCTTTGTGATGACTGCAGTGACTTTGACAAGAATTCACTAGGTTAGTACCAGGTGACATTACCTTTAGTGATTCTGTAATTCAGCAAGGATTAAATGTAAACTGTGTAAGGTTTAAGAAAAGATTTAACACCTCTGCAGTGTGCAGTTTACAATTGCTGATGATATCTTATTTAAATTTATTCATATAAGTATTGGTTGAAGAAAATGCACAATTTGTAGAAGTCATATGTGAGCTGTTTTCATGGAATCATTGTGAAAGTAACTTCTCAGTATAAGGCAATTAAACTTACAGTATTCCCTTTCACAAGCATTTTATAAATCTGTGTTTAAAACTGTAATAAATGATGTGTATTACCTCCAATGAAATTTACTTGGTAATGTAACTTAGTATTGTCCTGTAATAACTTATTGACTGCTCGCTGTTTGAGAATGTTGAGGTTAGTGTTGGTTCAGTTAAGAGTTATGAAATTAGCAATTTGTTTATCAGGAAAGGAATATAACCAAGTGAATAACTGGGACCACTGGAACAAAAAGAGTTGTAAACCACTTTTGGCTTCAGTTTCAATATGGGTCAAGTCCTTAAAGTTGACAAAATGGATTAATGAATCCTGAAAGCAAAACTTGTATTGTCATCAGACCTGCTGAAAGTTGTCATTTAGATATGTATTTGAAAAGTATTTAAGTAAATGGCAGTGTTGTTTCAATTTAACAAATAGGCAGTGATTCAGTTGAATGCCACAAAAGAAGTACAGGCCATTTGGTCCATTTAATCCATTCTTATAATAAAATGTTGATACTTACACATCATTAAACAATCTTTTGAATGACTCTCCTGTTTGGCTGCCACTGTTCGTAATATTTCAAATGTACTAAAAATGCATCTGAATTTAATGCTACTTTTTCTAACACTGACCATTATCATAATTGTCTCTTTTGTAGCAGATGAAAGCAAGCATGTCTGGCAGTTTGATAAAACTAGAACACAAAGGCACAACATGGCAGATTCTGGAATTCTGAAATAAAAACAGAAAATGCTAAAAATACTCAGCAGGTGAGGCAGCATTTTGAGGAGAGAGAATCACAGTTGATGACTTTAGTCAGAACTGAAGAGCTGGAGATGTAAAGGTTTTAAGCAACTATGGTGATGGTGGAAATGGAGGATGGGGAAGAACAAAACAAGGCTCATGATAGGGTAGATGAGATTAAATGACAGAAGAGACCTGAGGTAAAGGAAAAGTGACAATAATTGGATTAATAACAAAAAAAATGTGTAGAGAAGATGTAACAGGAAAAACAGAACTTTCACCAACAGCTTCTGTCCAAAAAAGGGGCACAGTTTATGATTTGAAATGAAACCCAAAAGCTTGAATTTTGCTGTCCATTCTCTGAAATGAACAGCAATTTTTGGAGTCTGCAAACAAAGTTATGCACATAAATACAGAAGTTTCTGTCAGTATTTCTACACTTCCCTCGGGGTGCATATATCAAATCACAGATTGCAATTACAGAATCAATGAGAACATGGGCTTTTATGTTATCAGTGTCACTTTAAGTAATGCCCAAAAAAGTTGCACTTTGCTGAGTGAGGTGTAACTGGGATTTTAATGGCATACTCAGTTCATAATCATAACAGAAAAGTCTTTCCAACCCTGAAATCTTACTTTATATTTGTGGAATGTCATTATCTGCGCTTATGATAAATTCCACATTATTAAAATAATACATATTTTAAAGTTTGTTTAGGAAAATTAATTTTCCACATTAATCTCAGGCGTATGTTCCAATTATTGATTTTGTTCTCTATCCATCACTTTTAATTATTATTTGCAATCATTGCATTTACTTCCATCTATGAGAATGTTTCAGTGTAGCTGGCACTTATGCTGCATGTTCTCATCACTGCTGCTGGGTGTGTAATGATTACCTTGACTTGGCACCAGATTTAATCTGTTATCAAGAAAGGGAAGTCCATGGAACAATGATCATGAGAACACAGATGATTAGACCTTTGTAGGCATATTTGCCATTTGCTTTAAGAGAACACCTGCCTGCATGCTTTGCACACTCTGGTTAGCATGGCTTGATCTACGCATTTCTTCGTGAATGCTATTTTTTCTTCATTCTCCTCGTAAAGTGTTTCTCTCCAACTTCATTACATGCGGCTGTCTAGACTGCTCTTGTAACATCACCATGGGACTTGTTAAGAACCAGTCATGTTGCTATGGATCTGGAGTCAAATGTCAGGCAAATCAAATAAGAAAAAACACTAAAGAACATTAGCGGAGCAAATGATTTCTTTTTATAACAATGTACAGTACTGGTCAGTGTCAGCTGGCTTTTCATTTCAAATTTCACCATCTCCTATGGTAATCTGTGTCTGCAGAACAGTGAGCTGGAGTTCTGGATTACTAGTCTAGTAATATTGCCACCATGCCACTGCCTTCTCCTTACAGTCATGTCAACTTCCATCCCAGTACTTTTAATTGTCTTCCTTTATTCTCAACTAAGAATCCTCTGCCAAACACGCACACAACACTCAGCATGTAAGACACACACACACACACACACACACACACACACAATCTGTTCTATTTCTGCCCCTCCCTCTCAGAACCACATTGGCTTCATGTTTTGCTCCACCAGCTATTTTGTTTGATGAATCATCTTCCACGTTTAACACCGACATGAAGTTATCATCTACTTCCACCTCCTTCTGCCCCTCTGTGAGATCCTGGTACAGTTCTCAGCCATAGACACCAGCTGTATCCTTTCTACTGGTGTCAGCCTGTGCCAGTAGAAGCAATTCAACATCTGCAACTATTTCAGATCAAAACCTTTGCCCGATACTAAATTGAAAGAATATAAATTGAAACAACACGACATAAGTTTAAAAACAACACATAATAGGTGTTTTATTTGGAATCAGTGACTGGGGCCTTAAACAGTGGGAGGTTAAGTGTAAAAGAGCAGTTGCTGATGATAATGACTTTGCTGTTTCCATTCATTCATTCTTTACAGCTTTACATTTGTGCATTTACCTTTCCCGTTAGCATCTCATTTTCTTTGTACCCTCAAATTTTTTGTCACTTAATCCGTCTTTCTGTCCACCCTATCTTTTTTGGTGTTCTCGTTTGTTTCCCGCCATTCACTTTCCCTGCCTTTCTTGTGCTTAAATTCTGTACATATCGGTTTGTTTCCAGTTCTGAAGAAAGGTTGACTTGAAATATCAACACAATTTCTGCCTCCACAGATGCTGCCTGGCCTCCTGACTATTTCCAGCAGTTTGTGATGAAATCATAAGATTACCTCAAATATGTTTCATTATTGTTTAATTTGGACTATAGTTTTGAGTATTTTGGTTGCCCTTTAAGTGAACTGTACTCTTGCACACATTGCCTGGAAAGAAGGGTTTTGTCTTAGCCTTAGAATAGTCATGATGGTGTTTTAGTTGGTAATCGTTATTGTACGGGCAACTACTTCTGTATGAATGCTGTGTTGATCTGAAAATCAATGTTTAAAATTATTCCTTAGTCTTCTACATGCTTTTACAATTATAAAGCTGTCTTTGTGGAAATTTTCTTTCATGTTCTGTGTTTTCAAAGGTCAGTATTTAAAGGGTTCCCTCATTGTATGGACATTCTGTATTCCGTAATAAAGTCATTACTTGATACCATGCTGACCTCAACACAATTTATGCATGTTTGATACACAGTTTCAATTGAAATGACACAAATGCTATCATTAATTATGCCAAATCATATTTGGTATAAGCATGTTGAAAAATGAATAAAACATGGTTAATTTTTTAAATTATCAAACCTAGGAAGACCTTTGATAGACTAGGAGGTCAAATACAATCAACATATTTTATGAAAGGTGTGTCTGCCCATTGATGCAAAGCCTGTTCTGCCCCATGTAGCATCAACTTGAGAGAGAATATGCACTGATTTTATTCTATGGCCGCACAGAAAAGAATTACAAAGACATATCTGCATGCAGTTTGATTCTAAAATGTCGGTTTCTTACTGTTGACAACGGAGGTGCCAATCCTGTATGTAAAAAAAGACAAATACTGTAATCCACTTTAAAAAGGTTAGATAGGAGAGTCTATTACCATGTATACATCATGTTTAAGTAAAGCTAGAAATGATTGCCATGTTTTAACACCAAGTTCACTGCAACATATCATGCTCTAAGCAGTGTATTTCAATAGAGTTCAATTCTATTATTTGCTTGTGTTTTAATGAAATGCCTAATTGATACGGTTAAAAAATATATGTAATGCCTGTTCTGGTGCAGGCAGATACTAAATTCTGACAGTCATTGTTCATGCAGCTATAGAGACAAAAATACAAAATTGGGCTTATTACCTCTTTGCTGCCCCTTTGTAAATCATGTAGCTGTATTTTAAAACATAATTAGCGACAGTAATCGAAATAGCGCTTTGTTTTGTAGTGCATATTTATTTCAGGGCTTCCCTCATCATGGTAATAATGCTGCTATTCACTTTAATTGCCAAAACAACTATTAATAATGTTGCTATTCAAATCTTAATTGGTATTGTTACTTTTAAATTATATGTACACACTGCAGTCAGAAATATTAACAGATTATTTAATCCACCTTCACAGAAGGAAAAGATACAAATTAAGTAAGAGTTATGGTAGTCTAGCCATTCTGTTTTAGAACAGACGAGGGGAGCAAAAATGTGGGCAATGCTTTAGCATTTACCATATGTAGTGTGCTGTTGTATTTGTTTTAATCGCGAGAGTGTAAATGATTCATTAAATTGCACTAACGTCATATCAAAAAAACTGTACCACAAAAACTTCTTTGGACCAAGAAATCTGAATTTATTGCATTATATATTGTGTAATACTTCTAAACTTCTCATGCCAACTTATAGTGCAAGTGTGAGTTTAACTACTGTAGATTAAAGACTTTGGCACTATTTTGCTGTTGAGTGAGGCTAGTTGTTTGTTTTGCTAGAAGGCAATTGAGCCTACACTAAAAAAAATTTCTAAATACAGGGGAAGGTGTCCTGGGAAAAGTCCAATTTAAAGAATATTGGCAAATATTGAATTAGCTTCACAGATATTTTTATGGAAATTCTTCATTTTGACTTTTTGAATTCCACATTTCCTAGTTCCATATCCCTTTTTGATCCAGTGTAAATGAGAAAATAATTATATCCTGCTTTTCATCCTTCCAGCACAGGGATGACTTGTACAACTTAATTTATCGGGGTAATATATGCTCTGTGAAGTGTTTTAAAATGAATCTCTTTATGTCTGCTACAGGTTGTCATTGAGTGGGCCAGGGTCCAGGCAACCTCCCAATCTCTGTCATCCAAGGATTGCCCCGTTTTCCTTCCCAAGACGCATGGGTTGGAGCTGTTGATTCTTATGTCAAGTGAATAAAATAATTGTATAAACCTGACACAAGTCCTTGAGTCATTTTTTTTTAGATCATATAGCTTTAACTCCAGAAGAGTTCATTTTCTGAACTTCTCACTGGATAACACTGTAGATTGGGAAGATCTTTGCTGCAATAATTCGTAGCTGAATCCAGTATGTTCCAGTAATTTAATCCATTTTGTTCATGAGATTTCCAAGTGTGCAAAATCCTTTTTGAGCTCTAATGTTAAACACCACAATCCCAGTTCGCTGTTGTGTAGCTTTAGTTGCTACATGTCACTTAGGTGGTAAACCTGAGTAGGTTCTTGAATTGTTCATGCAGTTTTATGCTGGATTTTACATTGGTTTTAACTTGAACAGATACATTTTATTTATGGCTGTGTGAGAATGTGGTTCTATTAAGATTCTGTATTTCACAGCTAACAAGGAATTCTGGAGAAGCTGAAATCTAATTTTGTGGCTGTGTTGTCCATTATATGCAGCTGTTAGACTGCTATGTTCCAGTGCACATTGTGATGCTGTAATAAACTACAATTTAATTATATTGAATTCTAAAGTAGCTAAGAAAATATTTTAAATGTATTGGAATCACTCATAAATCTGTTGCCTCTGTTTTATTCCTGTCTCTTGGTTTCTTTTTGTCATTCACAGGATGAGGGCATTGTTGGCTAGACCAGCATTTATTACCCATTCCTAATTGCTCAGAGGGCAGTTAAGAGTCAATTATATTGCTGTGGGTTTGAGTCACATGCAGGCCATATCATGTAAGGATGGCAGACTTCCTACCCCAAAGGACATCAGTGAACCAGATGGATTTTTTGAACAATCAACAACGGTTTCATGGGCACCATTAGAATCTTATTGCCAGATTTTTTTGTTGAATTCAAATTTTACCATCTGGATTGACAGGAGTCAAACCAGGGTCTCTGGTTTAATAGTATAATGATAATACCACTCGTCAATCACCTCTTTTCAAAATTTCTGTTTAAACAAGAAATTCATTTAAATTTCATTCTATGTAGAAATTTAGATGAACTTTTTTTAATGTCTTCCTTCTTGCTTTTGAATCTCATTGTTTGTTTGGAATTGAGCCAAACCCATTTAGTTTTTGCCTTAAAACTTACTCTAGAATCTGCTTTTTGAGAAAATTGAGATCCAACTCATCCAGAATCTCATCCAGTTCAATCATCAATCTGATTTGTATATGGTCAGCAGAGCTCTGACATCATTTTGATTTATTGATTCCTAAGAAATGAGATTATACCTTTCTCCCCGTACCTAGAGCAGAGATGGTAATATGGTAGTAATGTCACTGGGCTAGTAATGCAGTGACCCAGGTGAATGTTTTCCATCACAGCAACTAGTGAAACCTAAATTCAGCTGCTAAAGGTTTGGAATTGAAAAGTTAATCCATGTAATGGTAATGAAGAAATCATCATCATTTGTCATAAAAACCATCTGGTTCACTATTGGCCTTTAAGGAGGGAAATCTTGCCATGCTTACCTTATCTGGTCTACATGTTACTCCAGAACTACAACAATGTATTTGGCTCTTAATTATCCTCTGAAAACCCCTAGCAATACACTCAGTTCAATGGCAATGATTATTGGCAAGGCATGCATATATTGTCCATCCTTTATTGCCATTGAACTGAGTGTATTGCTTAGGGTTTTCAGAGGATAATTAAGAGCCAAATATTGTCAATGTAGTCTAACAATGGTTTTGTGCAGTTTTAGCAAGTTGTCCTCTCCTTTATGTTCTAGCCTTCTAGATAGAAATGCCAATATTCTATTAGTCTTTTTGATTACTTTTGTAATATCATATTTTAGGATTCTGCAACACAGGCTCTTAAATTTCTTTGAACTTCCAGTGTTTCCAAATTTTCACCACTTAAAAAACTTGCATTGTTAAATGAATGACCTGAGACTGGCAATGAAACTCAGTTAGCAGGGTTTTACCTGCTTCCATGGTTTACCAATGTCTGTGTAATTTTTTGCTCCCATTTACACCAGTCATTAGACCACCGATCTTTGTGTCATTGGCAAATCTAGATCAGCACACTCTTGTGCTTTCTAAATTATTAATAAATAAACTGCCCATTGAGGGATAAGTGCAGATCCTCATAGACAACCACTTCTCATTTCTTTCCAAATAAAGTGTGTGCCAGTTTTCCTTACTTTATTTTCTGCCAGTTAACTAGCTAAACTAGGTAACTAATTCAGAAAGTGTTGGAAAACCTCATGTCTGGCAACATCTGTGAGAAGTAAACAGAGTCAACCTTTTGAGTCTGATATGATTCCTATTCATCTTTTACACTGTTGAGAAAGAATGCAGGGTCAGGTGGAACTTAAGAGAAGGTCAGGGATAGGTTGGAGGATGGTGGAAATTAATGACAAAGATGGAATAAAAATCAAGGGAATGGATAATGGTTGTCATAAAGCAATAAAGTATTGGTCCAGAGTAGTGTAAAGGTCAGCTCTGCCTGAAAGCAAAATCATGAGAACAAGATCCAGCTTGACACTTAGTTGGAAGCAGGGGGAGAAATCACAATAGAGAAAACGGTTTATAGCGTGAAGTTGTTTAACTCACTGTTCAGTTCGAAAGGCTGTGAAGTGCCTGATCAGAAGATGAGATGCTATTTCTACAGCTTTCATTGGGTTTCACTGAATATTACATCAGACAACGAACAGAAATGTGAACACCAGGTCAAGACGTGAATCAAAATGGCAAGCAACTGGAAGGTTGGAGTCATGTTTGTGAACTGAGTAGAGGTGTTTTACAAAACAGTCATCCAGTTGATTTGATTTTCTCAATTTATAGAAGACCACATTGTGAACAACAAATGCAGTAGACTAAATTGAAAGTATATTTACTGCTTCATGTTGGAGAGTGAGGATGAGATATTGGGTGTAATAGAGGAGTGAATCAGAGTGTCACAGAGAAATGGTCCCTCTGAAATGCTGAGCAGAGGGGAGCGGAGGACTTGATTGGTGATAAAGCAGCAATTTCCTTGCAGTTCTAATTGTACTTCTAATGCAGTCTCGCCTATGTTGGAGAGCCAAGTATAAACTGGGTGACTGCTTTGCAGAACTCCTCCACTCAGTTTGCAAGCATCACCCGACATTCAAGTCCCTTGCCATTTCAATTCAAAACCTTAAGGTGACCAGATTCTCAAACTCAAACTCATCGAAAAGCCATGGGAAGGTGGAACCTCATGGTAAGTGACATTTTGGATGGTGAATGGCAGGAGTCTGTGGGAGGGACAATTGAAGATAGGTGGTCAGATGATCCGAGTTGGAAATCTTCTCACTGGGAAGTGCCCAGTCAATTTAATCTCATTGGTGTACCTCCCCTGGAATACACTTCAAGCCTTTAAGAAACCATTTTAGTACTATATCAATGTGCAGTAATTCAATATATTGCAAGTTGCTCTATTTCTGTGCAAATAGCAATGTGCAGTGAGGCTGTACTAACTATAAATGAGTATCTCAGAACAGCATTGTCATCATCTGGTTCTGAGTCCAATTCTCACTCACAATTTCCTTCAACTAATTTGCTTTCTCTGGCAGTAAATCGAATTATGCCACGTGCTCAGGATGCTCCTGACGTTACACCAGGAAGTGTGGAGAGAGCATATGGGTGGAGTGGGGTTGCTGTGTGGAACCAGTGCCTAACAGACCTCCTCTCTATTGAATAGTACAATTATTGCTGGAACAAATTCCATCCCCATGCACTCATTCCTGATTTGTGGAAGGCACCTGTCACTCGCTAAGATATATAGAGCCTTATAGCACAGAGGCCCTTTGAGTCTGCACTGATCTATCTACACTAGTCCCACAGCTTCAAATGTTATGGCACTTCAAGTAGAATAGAATCCGTACAGCGTGCAAGCAGGCCATTTGGCTCATCAAGTCCACACCAACCCTCTGAAGAGCATCCCACCCAGACCCACCCCTTATCCTATCCCTTCATTTCCCACCCAGACCCACCCCTTATCCTATCCCTTCATTTCCCACCCTGACCCACCCCTTATCCTATCCCTTCATTTCCCACCCTAGACACAATGGGCAATTTAGCACAGCCAATCCACTTCACCTGCACATGTTTGGACTGTGGGAGGAAACCGGAGTACGTAGAGGGAACCCATGCAGACATGAGGAGAATGTGCAAACTCTACACAGACAGTCGTCTGAGGCTGGAATTGAACCCAGGTCCTTGATGCTGTGAGGCAGCAGTGCTAACCATTGTGCCGTTGTACTCGGAAGTAGAGCTGGATGAATTAAATTAAAAAATTCCAACAGAAAGAACAGTTATATGGCAGTGGGGACGACACTTTCAAACATCGGCAGACTTGATAGCTTGGAATTGTTAAATATTATTTTATTTTTAAAGTTGATGCTCAGGTGCTTTCACTAGAGGAAACAGAATCTGAACAGGCTGGTCCCAATTCCTAGGAAATGATGCAATGTGAGGAGCAGATTAAAGGAAAGGGGCCTCCGCAGAACTGAAAACCCAGGAATTTCAGTCATCTGGAGAAAACTGTCAGGACACTGGGATGCTTCGGGAAAATCATCCTTCACGTCATAAACTGCATCCTCCATTTTGATTTTTTACTTCTCCCCACTCACACACACACGTTCCAATCTGTGTCTAATTCTCACGTTTCTTACCTTCAGACAGAAGTGATCTTTGTTCTGCCATTAGCACCAATTCTGGACCAATACCTTTGTCCTTTTCTTCTTACTTATTCACTCATGGGATGTGGGAGTCACTGGCTGGCCAACATTTATTGCCTGACCGTGGCTGCCCTTGAGAAGGTGATGGTGAGTTGTCTTCTTGAACTGTTGCCATCCCTGAGCGGTAGATAGATCCACAGTACCATTAGAGAGGAAATTCCAGGACTTTGACCCAGCAACAGTGAAGGAAGAGTGACATATTTCCAATTCAGGATGGTGAGTGGCTTGGAGGGACGCTTATAGGTTCCTATGTATCTACTGTCCTTGTCCTTCTAGATGAAAGTG